CTGAACCCCATCACCCCCAGCACAGCACCTTGTGCATAGCAGATGAGAAATAAACATCTGTGAAGTGAAGGGCTGCTTGTGATAAGCCATGTCCCTCCTATATCAAGAGATAGTTGGGGTGGGGGGCAAATTTTGTATTCCTGGGACAAAAACCACAACCTTGCTGGCTGTGACATCTAACAGCTAAACGATAGCCACCGTTTTTGGAGCACGTGTGAAGTTCTAGACAATGAGTTAAATGCCCTACAGAGACTATTTCATGGGTTCCTAGGAGATGGGTCCTATCATTCTTCTCAGGTTATAGAGGAGGAGCCCAGGACCTCCTGGCTAATGAGAGGAGGAGCCCCACCTGGCCCTCTGCTCCAGGTCTCGAGCAGGCGAAGGCCAGGCTGCCCAGAAAGGTCTGCAGCTCTCAGAATAAACGCCCTGTAGGAAGTGGGGAGGGGCAGCCAGCAGCCAGCCTAGAGCCCGCCCGATGGAGGAAAACCACACCGCAGCACAGGGCAGGCGGCAGCTCAGGGTGGGGCCTGCTTCCTCAAGGGTCGTGTGAGCAAGGGAGGGAGAGGGAGGGTGTTTGCTCCCCGCGTGTAGTGGAGCGTGTGGCCGGCACACCCGGGGCAGGGCAGGGGGCGCTCGGCATCCACATCCGCAGTAAGGTCAGTAAGGCCTGTCACCTCTCTGCCCTCTCCTCTTCCACTCTGTTTCCAAGCCCTGGTTTCCTCCCAAGCCATCACAGCCCCAAGGCTGCCAGAGCCGCGGGCACGGGAAGGCAAGGCTGTGTACGTCGGGCCTATTATCTCTGCCTAAGAGTGAGCGGCTGAGTTGCTCACCACAGATCACAACATCGGGGATCACAGCCCAAGGGCCGCCAATGCTCAGGACTTGCCCGTGATATGAGGACCCCTTCCAAGGGCAGAGGTGATACCCTCTATCCTTCAGCAGCCTTTGCTGCTGAAACCTAACAGCCTGCCCAGCAGGCTTGGGGGTCTAGGAGGGCTCGGGCACCAGAGAACGACCCCAGCACCGTTTGTAGGAGCTCTGCCCACTGGGCACCCGGACAGCACATCTGCTTCGCCACATGGAGGAGGTCTCGAGGGCTGGATTCCTGCTGTCTAAACCACCACTAGCTCTTGTTGAAATTCTTGAAAATCTCATTCCTGGCTTTCACATTTTGTTACTCACCCTGTCAAAACTGTTCTCTGTGCAGCAACCACATGATCTTTGAAATGTATACTGGATTATAACACACTCCTGGCTAATAGTGCTTCAGTGACTGAAGTCCTCTCCACTACACATAGTCAGTTTCTTTCTTTTGTACTCTGCTAAGGGCCACATGAAACTTCTTTCCATTCCTCAGCCCCCTGACTCTCTCTGCCTGCAGCTCTTTGTACCTGCCTGGAACAGTCCTCCCCCAGCTCTTGATAGACCAGACCCTTCTCATCTTAAGTGCCTCGTCCTAAGAGATGCCCATCCCCACTCTTCCTCTGTTAGTCTTCATCAGAGCTCCTTTCTAGTTCCTGCACCTCCCCTGTGCAGTTGGTAAGGATGTGTTTATTTGTTTGCTTGCTTTTTAAGTTGTCAGTTTCTCCTGTTAGACTGTAAACTCTGTGAGGGGAAGAACTCCTCTTACTCATGGTTGTGTCCCCAGAGCTGACCATGGTGTCTGGCAGGTTGTTGTTTGGGCTTGTTAAAAAAAAAAAAAAAATACTGAATGAATGAGTGAATGAATGAAAGGGCGACCTTCAAGCACAAGGACCTTAGCCGTGTGATTATTTGGCGTTTGCTGCTCTTAGTAAATCCTGGAGCTGCTGCTTCTTCCTGCTCTGTTGGTAGCAAAATTCCCTTAAAGCCCAGGTCTCTGGCAGCCACAGAGTTTGGAGCTCCTGTACACACCTCAGGGTTCCCACTACCGCCGCCCCCAGGGGGAGCTGGCTAATCCACCTCCAGGCTGATGTGGAATGCTGTACCAGCCCACGGACCCCACCAGCTTCCCCAACATTCGCCGCGGCTCTGGGGGCTCCTCAGGGCTGCTATAGGAACAGCGCATGGGTGTGTCATCTATTAAGATGAACAGTAAGTGAAGACTCGGAGTGCCTGGTGGGCCACAGACCCAGCCTGTGGCCTCTGGTCTAGGACCGCCCTAGCCCCAGGGGAATCCCTTACCATCTCCGTGGTCCTCCGGCGGTACTGCAGGCTTCTGGCTGTAGGTGCCCTTCTCCCCACTGCCCGTGAGGATGGCTCCTCCCCAGGGCTCCTGCAGCCCCTGGGGCGTGCTGTTGTTGCAGTGACCGGTGGACGGGGCCCGCAGTGGGTACGTGACACAGGGGCTGCGGGGCTGGGGCTGCGGCCGGGTGAGCTCACAGGCCCTGGGAACTACGCTTCTGGAAGAAGGCACGGAGGTGTCCATAGGCTCTCCCTGGTCACCTGGCCTGCGAAGTCCAGCCAGGGCTGACTTTCTGTGAGACACAGGGGAGGTGGTTTTCTTTGAAGAGGGAGGGGTCGGCACCCAGACTTCGGAGGAGAGGGAAGCGGTTGGCTGCTGGGCCTGGGGGGGTGCAGAGGGCTCTGTGTGGCTCTGATTCGGGGAGTCAGTTCCCAGAGACTCTTGGCTCTCTACAATCTGGGCTTGTCTGCCTGGTCCCGAGGAGCCCACCTTCATGGAAGAGGCGATAGCATAGGCTGTCCGGGAATCCATGGGCTGAGCCCAGTGATTTTCCAGCCCTGCTCCAGGCTGGGACCCCAGGGAAGCCCTCTTAGAGTCCTGGACAAGAGGCTTAGAGAAAGCATCTTCTCTGGGGAGCAAAGTCCCCTCAGGCGTCTGTCCCATGCCTTCTGTCACCTCATCCAACACCTCCACTAGCTCCAGCCCAGGCAGCTGGTGTGGGGCCTGGGGGCTCCGGAGCGGCCCCATTTCAGCCTTTTGGAACCACCTGTGGCCTCCCCGAGTCCTGGAGGCCCGCAGACGGGGGCTGCTGCCACGGACCCTACTGGGCTGCGAGGTCCCGGCCTCCTCACTGTCGGTCCTGCAGCTGTCGGAGGTGTCCGTGCTGTCCAGGGCCGAGTCTACCTCCTCGGGGCGTGCCTGGCCCCCGATGTGTGTCTCCCGGATCCACTCAGTGTGGAGTCCGGGCTCGGCAGGGAAGAGCCGGAGGGGGCCGCCCAGGCCCCGAGGGCTGCGGGGCTGCGCCAACGCCCCCTCCATCCCACAGGCGGCTTCGCGCTCCCGGAGGACCCTCGGGTCGGGGGAGATGCAGTGGCCGCAGGCTCGGCACCTCCTCTCACTGCCCTGAGCGGGCGGCGGCGCGGGAAGGCCCCGGGGCTCCAGCCCGCCCAGCAGCAGGTGGAGAGACCCTGCTCCTGCGTCCTGGCGCCGGCAGCCCCCGTGGACGTAGTCGGCGAGGTCGGGCTTGGAGCGCAGGGGGCCCTGGTCCGCCGGTTGCAGCGTGGTGCTCAGCACCTGGCGCTGACGCTGCTGCAGCCGCTCGAGGTAGCGGGACTCGGCGTCGCGGGCTGATTCATCCTCAAAGCGGACGTGGGACGGGGAGGCGGCCCGCTTCGGCCACTGCCCGCTGCTGGACTCCCCACTGGAGGAGTCACTCGTGTTCCCATTCTGGAGGTTGTCTCTGCAGGCAAGGGTCATCCTCGGGTCCAAGGCTGGGCTTTTCTGCCCATCTCTGATGGGGAGGCAGGAGGAGACAGGTCACAGGCAGAAAGAGGGGAGGAAGGTACAGACTCCCAGCTGGGCACCCACCAGCCCCCCTCCACCCTGGGGTACAGTCTCCCACTGTGCTCAGTGGAACTACAACCCAAAGTTGCCCCCAGTCAGGCTCCTCCGGAGTTGGACAACAAAGCAGAGCAGCTTACAGGTGCATCCTGATCCTGAACACAGCGCTAAACAAAGTGAACACAAGCTGCTTTACTTTTGGCTTTCCCTCTGTTGCCTGGCTCAGCCTGAGTTAAGATGAAACACTATTATACTCAGGATTGTACAGAAGGATGATACCGAAGTCCTCGTTTGTGTGTGTGTGTGTGTGTGTGTGTGTGTGTGTGTGTGTGTTTAGGAGAAGTGAGCCTGGCCATCATAGGCACCTGGTGAATTGTGATGAATTGTGGCAATGCTGTATTTTTTATAAAGGTTTAATGGGAAGAGCATACTTTAAAGTCTCCATGGAGGCTGTGTAGGACCTGCAGTCAGTGTTTCTAAACATTCCTGC